TCAAAAAATATTTTTGATCTTGTTTAAAACACGTTGCTTTAAGGTTTGGAACCACTTTGCGGATCCAGCTTATTTTCTATTAAATACATCTGAAAAGTTCTAAAGTTAGACAAAAGTAATTTTTTATGCATTATTGTATACCGCTAAATGCATTTGATACTGACATAAAATCATTGCGTCCTTTACGTGGACATATAATAAGCTCTTGTCTAAAGCCCAGATAATCTTGCATCGTGCATTCCTATCCTTTGCAGCGTCTAGTCCTTGAGTCCCCTCAGGCTCCACGCATCTTCCAGTTCAAGCTGCGTACGCATTGCGAAACTCCATGTTGACCAATTTTCGGAGCCAACCAGCTTCTCCATATTATGCGCCATAGATANTTTTTTATATTTGTTTTTGTTTTATTAAATTAGCCCAATATGTAATGACTACGGAGCGAACTTAAAAAAACACGTCGCACTCTTCGACGTTCGAAGAGCTAAATTAAAAAATTATTTACATATTCAGTAAAAACAGATAAAAACGGAAAAATCCTGAAGTAAGTCAAAAAATATTTTTGATCTTGTTTAAAACACGTTGCTTTAAGGTTTGGAACCACTTTGCGGATCCAGCTTATTTTCTATTAAATACATCTGAAAAGTTCTAAAGTTAGACAAAAGTAATTTTTTATGCATTATTGTATACCGCTAAATGCATTTGATACTGACATAAAATCATTGCGTCCTTTACGTGGACATATAATAAGCTCTTGTCTAAAGCCCAGATAATCTTGCATCGCGCATTCCTATCCTTTGCAGCGTCTAGTCCTTGAGTCCCCTCAGGCTCCACGCATCTTCCAGTTCAAGCTGCGTACGCATTGCGAAACTCCATGTTGACCAATTTTCGGAGCCAACCAGCTTCTCCATATTATGCGCCATAGATAGAGGTCTCATCGCGATGTATTCTGCTCACAAACAGTTGATCCTTAAGTAATTAAATTTTGTTTAATGCAAGTGACCCATAACCTTTTAGCAGAGCGTTCTTTATTGAAAGAGCTTTGTGAAGTAAGTGAAAATTTTTAACATTTCATAAGACNCATCGCGATGTATTCTGCTCACAAACAGTTGATCCTTAAGTAATTAAATTTTGTTTAATGCAAGTGACCCATAACCTTTTAGCAGAGCGTTCTTTATTGAAAGAGCTTTGTGAAGTAAGTGAAAATTTTTAACATTTCATAAGACTTTATACAAACGAATATTCAAAGCTTTGCCTATATTATTAGATAAAAACAAATCATTCGACCATCATTTTACCGTACTAAGCACAATTAGTCTTCCTTTTGATTTGATAAAAATTTTGCAACAATCGAATGTTGTTTGTCAAAAATATGACAGATAACTCTATAGAACCAAACTGCGTACATTTAAATATTTTCAAAATTTAAGAATGTAAGAAGTAGGTATGTACATATATAAACTTTGTAAATGATTTAAATATATACATATATGTGTAAAACTTGAAAATTAGTATAGTTCACCTGTATCGAACTCTATATGAAGCTTTTAATCCTCCATCAAATCCCGGAGTCCATGCTAAAGTTACACTATCGTGTGTTACATTAAGTATATTCAAACTAAGTGGAGTATCTGGCTGGGAAGTAATGTCCAACCGAATAGATTCCGTAGCCTGACCCAATTCATTCGTTACCACACATTCATAAGCTCCATAATCGGCCGGTGCCACTTTTTCAATGATAAGAGTGGATTCATAGGTCAGGGGATCAATTTTCTTTTCTTCAACCTCATACTTATATGTGCGATTTACTGGAAGGTCTTTGCTTTCTTGACGCCATATGAAGTTTGGTTTTGGGGCAGATTGGGCGCGACATGGTAGGCGTCCTCGTTCACCTGTACCACTCGCTGCGCGTAAAAAAGTTGGCGATTTATCGATTTCAGGTGCAACTATTACAAAATAAAAAATATAATCTATTCTAAATTCAATGATGTCATCTACGTGACTTACATTTGACAATGAGTTGAACATCGCGATTTGTCGGATTTGCAACACGATTATCAGCAATGCACCGAAAACTTCCGACGTCATCGCGACTTGCGTCTTTTATATGCAGATATGAGGTTCCATTTACAAATGACGTTGTGGTTCTTGATGCAATGTCATACGCCACTCTCTCCCATTTAATGTGTTCCTCGGTTAACGGTTTTCCTTCTACGGTACAAGATAACACCGCATCTCCGCCAGGATTCACTACAACATTTTCCGATATAGCTTTTATAGTAGTACCATCTGCAAATAAAAAAAGGTGTTGGTTGATTTTACCAACAGGGTGGGAAGATGAGATGTTGTCTTGATTAAGTTTCAGGGTTGTGATCCCAAAATACACCAAAGAAATACAATCGTGGCTGACGAAAATATAATAAAAATGTATTCAATATGTTGCAGCATTTTTCTGTACGTATTGCGCTCAATATTTCTTCTTAAATTAATAATTTCTGAACAGCTTACAGTCTGGTTTACAAGCATTAGGGAGTGATTACAATGCCAGCTTGGAGTTGAGAGTATTTTCCCCTTCTATCTTCAATATCTGATTGGAGAGCGGTATGGCTTTCATAATAACATAATCGGATTTCGAACTTCAAATGCAACTAAAATTTCACTCCAAACTGAGACGCAGCAAGTAATTTTTAAGCAAAAAACAAAACTGACTTCAATTCTCATATAAAAATTTAAGATTATCGTTAATTTCTTCATAATCCAATGATCAGATTTAAACCAAATTAGTATGGGACCACCTGTGAGGTAACACCTTTCCTTAAAAAAGGATTATATGAATCGGTTAATGTGGTCCAAAATTATGCGGTAACATACATAGAAAAAAANGGATTATAGGAATCGGTTAATGTGGTCCAAAATTATGCGGTAACATACATAGAAAAAAATAAAAATATTCAGACGAATTGATAGCCCTCTCCTTTTTGTGAGTTCAGTTAAAAAGAACACCATTAAAAAGAAAAAAGCATTCTCCGCAAGAATCGAACTTAGGTATTCTGCGTTAAGTTGGAATCGAAAGAGGAAGAGAGAAAACATCTTTCGAAATCAGCTGTTTGCCTAGGAATGTGTGAAATCGAAACAAAACAAAGAAATATTTGCCACCAAACTATAGCAGCTTATGAAGTTAAAGTTTGTAAATATTTTAAAATAAATAAATATATTTAGCATCACTGTAATTTAAAAATAAAATTTCGTTTGCTTTTAATTTAGTGGAAACATAATTATAAGAATGAAATCCTTAGCCGCGGCGTTATTGCTTGAAGAGGAGAACGAGTCCCAGATTGGTGATGCGGAAGTTGAAAGGCGGAGATTTGGGGACATGTTTGATCTTTTTCAGATGAGTGAAGAGTCATAAACTCATCATGAACTGTATTACTCACCGCTCAAAGCCAGTGAAATTATAAACGTGGATGTGGAAGATTTGACCGCAAATGAATTCCATTTTGAAATCAGTCAGGAGGAGGGGAATAAGAAAGCTTATCCTTCCATAGCAAATCGAATTCGAGACAACATACGCACTTCTTTTTAAAGACTTAGTAAAAAGGAGTGCAATAATAAAAGCATATTTTTTTATGTAACTTCACATTTTATGTATGTCTGTATGTATGTACACACCTCTATTAATCTTTTATACAAAGAATAAATTGTATTCAGTGTATTTCACAGTCTTATTTATAGATAATGAAAACAAAAGCGCCTGTGCTTCCTCTTTGAAACCCTCGCGCAATATCGCTTTTGGTTGCCATTATTTGAGCCAATTTTTCGTATTGCCCGTATTACCGCTCGCGAACACACAGAAATCGAGAAAATTCATTTATGATGACTTTCACAATCATGCACAGTATATTTTACTTAAGTTTTTTATAAAATTTCATTATTGAAACCCACGACAATTATCAGAATAATAACTAGCGTTTTTAGTATTTTCGACAGAATGTCTGAGTTCTTTGTAAAGGACTTTCAAATTTTAACAAGGATATTGGTTTCAAAAAAATCGTATAAACGTAAAGCAAAAACAAAAATAAAAACCCTGCAATGCGACAGCAATCGCAATTTTAGTATTTACTGTAGTAATAATCCTCCATGATTCTCCCCTCGCTACGATCATTCTAAGTGGTTGCGCATCGAGTGACTATTTTCACCATAGGAATTATACGTCAGAAAATGAGTTATTATGTTTTGAGGTCAATATAATTTTCTAGGATTAATAAATTCGCTCGAACTATAAGAATACATTTATTACATGCCATTTAAATATTATGCATGCTCAGATTATTTAAAGTCCGAAGTTATCCTTTTTTAATTTAAGGAATCTTTAAATTCTTATAGTTTGAAGCGTTTTCATTAATCCTAGTAAATTATATTGACCTCAAAAGAGGATAACTCATTTTCTCGCGTGTAATTCCTATGGAAAAAATAAGCACTCGAGAGGAGAGATTCATGGATTACTATTACTACAGCAAATCAAGAATGATAGAATTGTATTCTCTCAATCGTGACAGCAAATGCTAAAATCTGCTCAGAGGTCAACAAATTTAAGTTACTGAGCCAAACGACAGCCACGGCAATATCAATTACAACAACATCGTTCTGGGAACTGAAAAAAATATTTCAACACCAAACTAACAAATCATGATACAAGCATACAGCTGAGCAAATGCCAGCCAACTCGAGGCAGCAGTGAATGTATGTCGATAGATTTGTGTCCCGTTCGTTTGCCCTAAAGGCCCGTTTACATACAACTTTGGCGTTGCGTAGGCGTTGGCGTCGCTTCGACAGCTGACTATGAATCCATACATTTATATGAAAGTCTCCACATAACCAAGGTTGGGCAACGCCAACGCCAACACAACGCAGAAAGATGGCCAACTCCCAACTTTTCGCGCGCGTCGTTCGTCAGCTGTTCCAAATAATCAAAATTATGTGATTTAATTTTCCTTTTTAATCAAATGCGGACAAGAAATATAGTTTTTAATGCAATTATTGATATAAAATTTTGATTTATCTGCCGCTAGTATGTTAATTTAGTGACCAAAGTATTCTCTGCTAAGCCAGCACCAGCAACAACGCAACGCCAAAATTGTATGTGGACGGGCCTTAAGTCAACGCTTGTTTCGTTTGTGTGCCGTGTTTGTTGTAACTGAGCCACAGTCAGTGTGCGGATTGAAAATTTTTTAAGTGGTACATAAGTACGGTGACCATCCCTTCTGTTTTTTGCAGGACCGTACTGTTTTTCAAAGGTCGGTCCTGCGTAGTTTTTCAAACCTGAAAAACCTGAAAATGTACTGAGTTTTTCCAAGTGTCCTGCATTTGTCCCGCATTTTATTCGTTATTTTAAAATTATCGGACAATGGATGGATTTTTAAAAAAAATTGTATTTTGGTACTTTTCGTAGCTTTTCTTCAATATCTCATCAAAAAATCTCCCAGTCAACGTAAGCGACTTACAGCTCGAAGGGTATTGATGTGCCTCTTACCAAAATATATAACTTGTGGCGACTTCAATGAAAATTATTAGTGCTACAGGCGAACATTTGCATTTTGTCGTCAAAGTCGAAAAAAAGAGATTTTCAATCAAATACGCATTTTCATTTGATTATTTTTTTCATTATTTTAAAAATTCGATAAGGAAGATATATCATTACAGTAAATTTTGAGCCAAAGATAATGAAAATCGGATTAGAAATGTAGATGCTATGGAGCGCAGTCTGCACAAATTATATATTTTTGTAAAGGGCACTTTGTAACTCGTCGTTTACGTCGATTCATGACGTCGATTTTTGACAAATAACTGCGAAAAGTACCAAAAAAAAAAAAAAAAAGGGTATTGTTTTCGTTTTGAACGACTCAAATTTGCCTATAAAATAATCTTTTAAAGGTTTCCACTTTTCGTGTAAGCTATTGTAATTATAATATGTTTTACTATACTTTTATAAATATTCATGTAAAAAAAGATTAATATCGATGAAGAAAACGTGATTCATTTTTAAAGTTTAAAATGTATTAAGAATTTAGAATCATAAATCTTTTGGTATTTTTATACTACGTAAATATGTGTAGGCATATTTTTGAAAAATTGTCCTTCATTTTGAATCCATATTTATGGTCACCGTATACATAAGCCTTAAAAGTTGTGGAAGGTTCCAAAATAATGTGGTAGATTTACATATATGTACATTAGACTGCATCACCAAAAAAATGTTGCGGTTTTTCCGCCAGGATTACAAAATTTATTATATTTTAAGACGTCCACCAAAATATTTCGGAAAAATTTAAGATTTAAGTGAGCTGGACCAATTTGAAAATACCTCCAAAAATGGAGTTTTTTATGAATAAAAATAGTTTCTTAAAGAACTTTTTGAAAAAAGTCCCTTCAGATGACAAAACAGATTAAGCTTAAAAAATCTGCATAAAAATATTTAAAAATATTTTCAACGGAATCGTAAGAATGAGATTTTTGATGCGGTCTTTTTAACTTTTTTCAAAGATTGATTTACGAAAAACTTGATTAACTGGGCCAAAACTATTCTGATTTAGACTTATTGGATCTCAGTAGAAAGGTATTTTCACACTGTTGTTATTTCTGTCAAAAAAAAGTCATATGTGTCCCAATTTTTTTTTTCAAACACCAAAACATCTTAGTTCAACTCTGAATGACGTTCGTTCATCCTACTTTTCTCTTTCATCCTTTGAATGAGTTTATTAGCAAAGAAATAAAAAGGGTGAGAAAATACCATTCCAATGACACCTCTTAAGTCTAAAACGGTAGAGTTTAGGTTCAGTTATTCAAGTTTTTCTTATACCAATCTTTGAAAAACGTTAAAAAAACATCAAAAATCTCATCATTATGATTCCGTAAAAATTTTTTTTTTAATTTTTTAAATATTTTTATGGAAATTTTTTAAGCTTAAACCGGTTTGTCATTTCAGGGTATTTTTTCAAAAAAAATCCTGGCATTTTATTCAATAGCGAACGAAAAACTCAATGCATAGGAGCG